TGGACAAGGCCTGCAAGAAGAAATGACCCAACACACACACACACACAGAGACACACACAGGGCCCCTGGTCCACCTCACCCACCACCGTCCACCTGGCATGGGAGCTCCTGCAAAGACCACCCAGCCCCACCCCTGTGCATGCCCCCCCCTCTCTCTCTGTCCCCCTCCCCCCCCCAGCAAAGCCAATGTACCCAAACTCCATCAGGCCCCCTTGCAAAAAAAAAAAACAAAAACCGCCAGCCAGGTGACTAGATCTCATGGGGGTCCCAGGTTCTGCCCAGGATTGGACTGGAAGACCTCCTTCCGGCTCTATTCTGACTGAAAGGGTCGAAGGTCTCCTGCCTGAGCTGGGGGTCAGACTAGAAGACCTCCAAGGGCCCTTCGGATGGATGGATGGATGGAAACCGACCCATTGGAAGGCTTCGGCTGTTGCAGGACAACGGGGGCCCCTCCCTCCTCTCTTCCTTCCCCCCCCCCCCCCCCGAGGGGGGGGAGGGGGAGCAGCCCCAAAGGACCCCCCCTCCCCCCCTCCTTTAGGGGCGGCCAAACGGGGAGAGTCCCTTCTTCCACCGGGCCCGTTCCGCCTCCTCCTGGCGCGGCTGCCCTTCCCGCCCTCCGTGTCTCTCTCTCTCCCCCCCTCAGAGAAACCCCGCCAGCCCCAAACGACGCAGGCGAGGCAGCGCCGTTTTCTCCCAGGCCGCCACCCCGAAGCGGCTCCGGTTGGCCAACAGAGGGAGGGGACGGGACGGAGGAGGCCTCCCTTACCGGAACCGGGGCCGGGAAACCCTCCAGGCGCCTCCCGAGTTCCACCGTCCTCGGGGCCGTCCGGGAAGGCAGCCAGAGGCCGCTCGCTGAGGCGCCTCACCAACCGCCACCGCCCCGCAGCTGCGCCGAAGGCCGGGCACGCCCTGCGCAGGCGCGCGTGGCTCGCGGGGGGTCACGTGCCCGGGTGGGGCGTGGCTTGGCGGACATGTCACGGGGTGGGCGCGGCCCGGTGGTCATGTGGCTCGGTGGGCGTGGCTTGACTATTGATTAAGTGCCTGCAAGGCAGAAATGGCCACCGGAGGGCACTGTTTTCATTCCCTTTGCTATAGATGGTGTATTTATTGCCTGCAACGCAACAATACCCTGAATGGCCACCGGAGGGCACTGTTTTTATTCCCTTTGCTATAAATGGTCTTTTTTATTGCCTTCAACGCAAAAATACCCTGAATGGCCACCAGAGGGCACTGTTTTTATTCCCCTTGCTATGATGCTCTATTTAGTGCCTGCCGAGCAAAAATGGCCACTGGAGGGCACTGTTTTTTTGTTTTTTATTTTTTATTATCTTTTTATTATTATTTTTTGTGGGTTTTTTTTATTTTTTTAATATCTTTTTTATTTTTATTGTTTTAAAATTTATTGGTTTTTAAAACAAACATGAACAAACAAAACATAAAAACATTAAGTCATCTTCCATGTATGTTTTGTGCTTCCATTTCATAGTCTTCAATTATGATTACATTGTATATAATCTTGTATTTTCAATCAAATATTAAATACATTAATATTATTATTAATCATTTGGCTATGCTTTTATTCATTCATGTTTTACAAAATATTTTACTTAATTTGTTTTTTGACAATTCATATTATCATCCCAGATCTATCCTAGAATCATTTTGTAGATATAAGAAAAGAATACATCTTTATATATTTATTATTTTCTAAAAGTCTACATATTTCATTAGTATATTTTATTGTCTAACCATTGATAGAATAGATCCCAAATTTTATAAAATGGTTTATCATCTTGTTCTCTAATTTCAAATGTCAATCTGCTCATTTCAGCACATTCCAACATTTTCTTAATGATTTCCTCCTGTGATGGTATTTTCTTACTTTTCCAGTTTTTAGCAAATACAATCCTAGCTGCTGTTAATACATTTACAATCAGGTATTTCAAGTCTTTATATTTCAGGTAAAATTCCCAATAAAAATATCTCTGTTCCAAATCTATGTTTTTTGTCATTTTTTCCAACCACGTGTGGATTTTAGTCCAGTATTTTTAGCATCCACAGAAGTCCACCACATATGGTAATATGAGCCAGGTATCTGATGACATTTCCAACATTTTTCGGATTTATTCTTGAACATTCTTGCTATTCTTGGGGGGGGGGATGCCACCTGTAAAACATCTTATACAAATTTTCTTTATATGCTGTTGACATTGTCATTTTATAATTTTGAGAGCACACTGATTTTATTCCCTTTGCTATAAATGGTGTCTTTATTGCCTGCAATGCAAAAATACCCTGAATGGCCACCAGAGGGCACTGTTTTTTATTTCCTGTGGTATAGTCTTTTTATTGCCTGCAATGCAAAAATACCCTGAATGGCCACTGGAGGGCACCGTTTTTTTTCCCTTTCCTATGGATGGTCTTTTTATTGCCTGCCACGCAAAAATACCCTGAATGGCCACCGGAGGGCACTGTTTTCATTCCCTTTGCTAGATTGTGTATTTATTGCCTGCAATGCAAAAATACCCTGAATGGCCACCGGAGGGCACTGTTTTTATTCCCTTTGCTATAGATGGTCTTTGTAGTCCCTGCCAGGCTGAAATATCCCAGATGGCCACCTGAGGGCACTCTTTTCATACCTTGTGCTATAGGATCACTGGTGTTCGATCACGTCATGTGACATAGCACAATATTTTTTGCCTTTCCGCAGGTGGGGTGGGCATGGCTTCCAGGTGACACATCTGGCCGGTGGGCTGCCAGTTTGACACCCTTGTGTATATATGGCCTTTGTTATTCCTTGGAGGCCACAGTGACTGAGAGAGATGGCAAGAGACGGCAGGTTTTGCCTGAGATTTGGTCTTGTTTTTACACGCACCCCCACCCCCCCATTATGAATATTTAACTATGGCTCTAACTTATCCCGTCTCCCTCCTCCAAGTTACGCCCATCATACTTTCCCACATTCACATTTTGGATGCTTGGCAACTGGCTTGCAATTATAAGTCCCAGACCTTCTGCCATGCGATCATCACTGGCATTGTTTCCAGGAATTCAAACTCAACGGCCGTTTGACTCGCTTAATGACCATGCTCCCAAAAGGGTCATGAAATAGCTCCCTTTAGGACCCCGCTGCCTAACAACAAATTTCCCGGTTCCAATTGGAGACTCCCAGTAACCCTGTCAAGGCCACCCCCTCCAAAACAGACACCACAGTTGGAGCAGTTTCCAGTGAATCGATGTTTTCCGAAACATTCTTTTTCAAGCAATCACAAGAGCTACACAACCGCACCATGATTTAACTTGATATTAAAATTAACATATTCCCCCCTTCCTCCCTCCTTCCCTCCCTCTCCAGGGATCAAGGACCAGGGTTTTGCCAGCTTTCCCCTGTGGTGTTCGCCGATGAAAAAAAACCAAAGAATCGGAACAGGGAGTCTTCGGAGACCGTAGTGAATGCTGTTCAACCGGCACTGCAAAAATCAAGAACGTGTCCAGATTCTATCCTGGCGAGTTCAGGAAAAAAAAAACATTTGGCATTATTTTAAGTGTACACGGACGGGGCTTTTGAAAGGAAAAAAGTCCAGAACACCACACTGTATAGATGCACAGAACACAACAGGCCCGGCAGCGAAAGGAAAACGCGTGTTGTGTTTGGGGGAAACGAGGCGGCGCGACGGGCGCCCGAGGGCTCCGCGCCTTCAGAATTCCTCGTGGACGTTCCGCGCGTAGTCCATCAACTTGCTGCCGGTGAAATACTCGCTGTATTTCAAGATCTCCTCCAGCTCCAGGTGGTGATTTTGGTTCTCGTCCGCCACGGCGATCATCTGCTTGGCTTCGTTCAAGGCGTTGTACTCGTTCATGGGATCCATGTACTCCTAAGAGGAAAGCGAGCGGAGGAATCCATGACCAGCAATTCAAGGTAAAACTATCTTACATTGGGGGGTGGGGTGGGGGGGTGTTCAGCTTTCAATCCACGCACTCCATCCTCAAAAAGACATTAATAACTCTCCAGGGAAGGGCTTCCACTGTCTTATTTAATTTATTATTACATTTATATACCACCCATGTTTTTGTCTGAATCAACTGCCTAACATTCAGCCAGTATCTCTATTTAATCAAGGAGGTGTTCCATCCTGCGGAACAAGAGAGGACTAAACAGCCTTCGAGTTTTTATTTTATTTACCATCCAGCCTTTAACTCAAAGTGAAGAACATATTGAATACTCCTTCCTCTCGCTCACTCCTCCTTTTGCTAACTTGGAAGAAAGAAAAAAAATGAAACGGCAAACCAACTTTGCAGAAGAAGGCCGTGCCCACACATCCGTTTACTCACCTGCCGTGAGAAAGCGGAGCGTGGGAGGAGGAAATTTAAAAAGTAATGCAGTCTGTCCCCCCCTCTCCCTTTCTTTCTTTCTTTCTTTCTTTCTTTCTTTCTTTCTTTCTTTCTCTCTCTCTCTCTCTCTCTCTCTCTCTCTCTCTCTCTCTCTCTCTTTCTTTCTTTCTCTTTCTCTCTCTCTTTCTTTTTCTTCAAGTCTGGACCGTTTCCAGACAATTGTCAGCTTGATCTAGCAAGCTTCAGCTTGGTTCAAGAATTGCTAGCCTGGCACTCGCGGCAGGATAGGGAGGAAAAAAAAATACATGTAATTTTGGGGAAAAATGAAGACACATTAAGCCGCGGCTTGGTTACCTCCAACTCTTCCATGGTAACGATACCGTCACGGTTGGCATCGATGACTTCCTCAAACTCCTTCTTTCGGTCTTTCACCCAGTCGTCGTCCACATCCTGGGCTTGTTGATTTTCGACCGTGCCAACCGGCAAGGAAATGAACTCGGAAAGGGTCAGCTTCTTATCGCCGTCCTGATCTGGGGCGAGAAGTGACGGGAGATTAAAAAATAAATAAATATCAAAATCAAACAAGCTGCAGGGGGGAAACGATTTTGAAATCTTCTCGCTTCTACTTTTGTCTCCGCCGGGCACGTCTTCTAGCCCAAGCTGCATCCGTTCGGCGATTACAAGCACAGGGGGTCCTTGACTTACAACGGTTCAATTTAGGGGCTGTTCAAAGTTACAACGGCGCTGGAAAAAAAAATGGCTTTAAAATGAGCCAAAACTCACTTAGCAAATATTTCACTTAGCAATGTAAGTGTTGGGGCCCAATTGTGGTCATAAGTCAAAGCGTATCTGTAGTCCTCGACTTAACCAGCCTTCATTTCGTGGCTGTTACAACAGGGCTGGAAAAAGTGACTTAAAGGTCCTTGCAGTTATGACCAAGGTCATGTGATCAAAATCTGGGCCCTTGGCAATCATTTAGAAACACATTTTCCTTTCTTTCTTTCTATCTTTCTTTCTTTCTTTTTTTATTTTCCTCTTTCTTTCTTTCTTTCTTTTTTCTTTCCTCTCTCTCTCCTCATTCATTCATTCAATTAAACTGCCGATCTCCCGCAAACATTCCTTCCTTCCTTCCTTCCTTCCTTCCTTCCTTCCTTCCTTCCTTCCTTCTCCTTCTTTTCTTTCAGGGGGAATTCCAATAAAATATAAGAGGAATCCATTTTTAAGGTTTCAAATCTGGAGAGAAGCAAGCTTGTCTCCCCTTTCAACTGGATAAAGATCTCATTTTTTTTTTACTTCCTGGCACGAATCTTGGGTTTGATTGCCAGTCTTCACAATCAAACGTGAGTTCAGAGCACCCCCTCCTGGGCACCAACATCCCAGCAATCCAGAGTTGGGCTGAGAAGCCTCAGGCCAACTCAAGTCATACAGGCCCCCGGTGGGAACATCTGAACTCAAAAGAGGCTTTTTTGCAAACTAGACGGTGGACTTCAACTCCCAGAATTCCCCAGCCTCCCCCCTGGGTGAGTGACATCAAAGCCAACCCAGCCTCGGTGCCATCTTATCTGCTTGGGACGATCCGAGTTGGAAGAACTGGGGAGGAAGGACGTACCCAAATCCCGGACGATTTCCTTGACCATAAATTTCAGCATTCCTCTGCTGTGCTCCGGATGAAGGAAAGACAAAAATTCTTCCTCGTTCAGCAACAGATCGGCCGGCGGGTTGTCGGCTTGGTACCAGCGATCTTTCAAATTATCGAGCACTTCCTGGGCTGTGGGGTAGAAAAGATTTTTTTTTTAAAAAAAAGAGGTTCAGCGAATTCCCACGTCCAGGTTTTAAAAGGTGTTTACCATCCTGGTTAAAACGGACAAGAAGAGAACTTGGTTGGAGATTTTGGCCAATTAAGACATAACGTTATTTGTTTGTTTTCCACCAATGATTAAAACAGATTTCAGAATTTGTGGGCCGGGAGTTTTGGAAACCACCTCTGTTGGCTACCACCAAGGGGTTGGCCTCTTCAGGACCACAGAACCAATTCGAAAGAACCATGGTTCTGTCAGGTTGGTAAAGTCAGGAAAAACAATGGAAAGAGACACTCTAATCCCTGAGAAGTGAGGAGGGCTTGAGAACAACCCACGAGGATTATTAAAATAAGAGAATGGGGCACTTTTCTGCAGAACTCTTTAGAAAAATCTCAGTTTTCCATTCAATAATTTTTTTTATCAATCCTGGCTCCAGACACATGGGGAGGCCAGGCAAATTTTAAAGGCCCCAAAAGCAGTTCAACAGTTTAATTTAATTCAATGTATGCCCTGCTTCACTCAAAAACCAATACAAACCACACTCAATTAGTGAGAAAAGGCAAGATAAGGGCTTAAAGACACCCACAGAAATCAAAATACACACACTGGGAAGGACTCCAGAACTCAGATAAGAACTGAAAAACTAGAATTATTTCACACTTTGCTTCCAGCACTGGGCCATGCGCAGTTTGTCCTTATAAACAGTCCTGACAGCAGCAGCAGCTCATGAAGGAGATCAGGGCCCCTTCCTCCCCCGTAGACCACACCATTCATGTTTCTCCCTCATCCTCTCCTCCCTGCGTGCCCTGGGAGGAAGAGAGGATGGGCCTGGGTCTTCCTCTGACTGCCCAGCTGGCCTGTGCCCCTCCCCAGTTTCCTCCACAACCTCTGGAGCCACACTCCCACTCCCTGTGGGCTGTTCCTCCTCTCCCTCGAGTCAGACTCCAACAAGGGCATGACAGCTCTTGCCAACACACCACTAAACCGGTTGCGTTACCCCAGGCCTCCCAGAAGGACACACAAAGCTTGCTTTATCTCAGTTGTGTGACCTAGATTAAACTAATCCCTGAGAGATTAAAATATAGCAGCAATACAGTTGCCAGGGTGAAGGAGGGGAGGGATGTGGGTGACCCTGTACATTGTGCCAAGCGAGAATTAGGAAGCCTTCCTTGGAAAACCAAGAGAAAATAGATAGATAGATAGATAGATAGATAGATAGATAGATAGATAGATAGATAGATAGAGACAGATAGATAGATAGATAGATATGCATATATATTTTAAATTTCACAGGGAAGTACCCCTGTGGGCTTTGAATCCTGTTCAGGAAAAAAAGACACTCACTCTCTTCGTCAATCTTCAGCTCTTCGTTGTTTTTAATCTTTTCCGCCACCTCTTTCTCGTTCATGCCTTTGCTTGCCAGGAATTTGATTTTATATTCATCCCAGGACACGTGGCCTAAAAGGAAAGGAGAACCTTCAACAACCTCCATGCAGTCAATCGTAAAGTCAGACTAGCTACAAAAGTACATGGTCGGGCTCAGTTTTTGGGGAGGAAAACAAGGGGGTGGGTGGGAAAATTCTGCCTCTGCCTACCAGCATCCATCGGTATTCATCTGGCTAGCATCCTGTCAGTGTGCGAGAGTTGAGAGCTGTTTGGAAACTGAAACAGTATTGGCTGTGTGAGCAAGGAGGAGACAGCAAGGAGCCCGGGTGTGGCTTAGCTCAACTGTTCTGGACTGAAGCTGCTTGGTGCTGTGAAACTGAAACTCCTCTGCTTGTGTTTTGCATTTGGAAGAGATTTCTTTTCAGGTGGGGCGGTGGAGTAGAACTCCTTAGCATCAGAGCGTGTTCATAATAATAATATTATCTGAAATACTAATGACTCTGACGGTCATTTCAAAAAATCCTTTCTTAGTGAGCACCTAGAAGCCAAGAGGAACATACATGCCAAATTTCAAGTTTGCAGGCTTTACGGTTCTGGGGATTTTGTGATGATGCGTGAGGGGTCTTTCGCTTTTACATAGAGAGAGAGATTCTTTCCCCATGGCTGCCCCATCTCTTACCATCGCCATCCGGGTCCACGGCCTGGAAGTGCATCTTGTTTTCTTTCATGGCCTCCTGGAAGTGCTCCTCGGTCTTCTCCATGATCCAGCGCTGCATCTCCTTGGCGCTGATTTTCTTGTCCCGGTTGATGTCAACCCTGCAAAAGTTCAGCGGGGAAAAAAAAAAAAAAAAAAGGATTCCCAATCCCCAGTGTCCGGCAAAAAGGGAGAAATCCTGCCTTTGCTCAGCCAAGAAACAACCAGCCTACAAGTTCAGGTGATCAAGGATGGAGAGCAATGAAGGAAGGCCATCGACCCAGCCAATGGCTTTTCCATGTTATTACCGCCACTTGCTTCCCTGATATGCCCTTAACAAGAATTCTTCTTTCTTTGCGGGCAAGATATCGGCTCGGCCGTTGCCAATCCCACAATATCACATTACAATTTATTTTATTTTATTTTTGTGACTGGAAAGAGTGCAGAGAAGAACAACGAAGATGATTAGGGGCCTGGAGACAAAAAAGATATGAAGAACAATTGCAGAATTTGAGTATGGCAAGTCTACAGAAGGACTAGGGGAGGCATGATACCAGCATTCCAGTATTTGAGGGGCTGCCCCAAAGAACTTATATTCCAAAGCACCTGAAGGCAGGACAAGAAGCAACGGATGGAAACTAATCAAGGAGAGAAGCAACCTAGAGCTAAGGAGGAATTTACTAACAGGGAGGACCATTAACCAGTGGAACAGCTTGCCACTGGAGGTTTTTAAGACGAGGCCGGACAGCCATCTGTCTGAAATGGGGTCTCCTGTTTGAGGAGGGGGTTGGGCTAGAAGATCTCCAAGGTCCCTTCCAGCTCCATTCTAACTGAACCTTTGCAGTAAGCCCCGTGGCAGTGGAAGGAATAAATAAGAGCATATTCACTTAAGCAGCGAGAATCCAAGGCAGATTTCCTCCCTTTATTTTCCTAGAAAGTGGAGGGCACTTTCTAAGATCCTTAGAGCAATCACAGCTTACGGAGGGAAGCCATAATCAAGATTGATCCTACACGTACTAATGCTGGCCTCCCTTCCCCTCTATTTTAGAAGAACAGGGGCTCACTTTGAGAAAATCACCACCAGTTTCTTCCGGTTCCTCCACGGTTCTGAGTCTTCCTCAAACTCCTCCATCTCTTTCCCCAGGAAGACCTCCTGGTGAAACTCCTTGTTGAGGTGCCCGTCCAGCTCCATCTTGACTCCATTCAGGTGATCCGGAGGGAGGATCTCGTTTTCGTCTTTGCTGTCGGCCGCCGCCTTCTCTTTGAGGACGGAGCTGTTGGCCGGCCGGGCGTAGACATCCATGAGCAAAAAGACGAAGAGGAGGGACAGGTAGATGGAGCCCAGGCTGCAGATGAAGACGCGTTTGGAAACCATGGCTTCAGGAGGTCAGCGGGAGGAAGGGCCCGTGTGATGTCTGGATAACCTGGAAGGGGGGACAGGGGAGAGGCAAAAGGGCCAGACGATTAGCATTATAGTCCCATTTTGAGAAACAGACACCCAAAATAAGACCCTGCCTTACAGTGATTCATATTTATGACCGTTCCCTGGGGGTCATGTCCCTTTTGGCGACCTGAACGAGCAAAGTCAATGGTGGGAAAGCCATTGTTACTCACTATAAGGAACGGAGAGTTGTCCACTTAGCAACTGTGGCCAGAAAGGTCGTAAAACGGGGGGAAAAAACTCACCCCCTGCAAGGGCTGAGTGGCGGTCGTAAGTCGAGGAGTACCTGTACTGCCTAATGGATCCAACCTGGCTCCCCAGATAGGCCCCAGAATCCTCCGCCCTCCCTCCCCACCGGCAGAAAAGCCCCCAGGGACCCCTCGAAGAAGCTCTGGGAACTCCCCGCAAGGTGAAAAGGGACATTGAAAGGGCGGCACTCCGCATATGCCTAGAGGAACCTTCGCCCGAACACCAAGGGAAGCGCTCTCTTCGGGATCTATGTACTCTGCGCATGCTCAGAGACGGCCGTTCCCTCCCCCCGCCCCCTTCCTGTCCAAGAGGGGTCTGACCTTCTCAATCGGCCGCCGAACCTCCTCATGCCTGACCCCACGCCGGGGCAGCGGCGACTTTTCTTCGGCTTCAAACCGGAAGCCGGAAGCTTCACTCCGCGCTGTGAGGACCGGCAGAGCCCCGCCTCTTCCGCCCCCGGGGGATGCTCTTAGGAAGCGAGTCCCAGCAGGCAGCGGGTCGGTTTTATTTCCCCCTCCTCGACTCACTAAATAAAATACGAAATAAAAATAAAACAAATAAAAATATGAAACGTTTTATCTTTTAAGTTAAAATGTACGGAACCAGCAGGCGCTCAGCTAGACACCCTCAACGGAGGCAAAGGAGACGGGGAGCTTCGCCGTTGGAAGCGGTCCTGGGCGGCAAGCGAACCCGGAGCAGCCATCTTTCTTTCGGGCACAACCCCTTCTTTTTCCCTATCTTTTAGGCGGCCGTGCCCAAATCTGGAACCACAATCGGGCATTTTTAAAAAGGGACTTTTTTTCCCTCCAGCACCGTTCCGCTATCCTACTGGCTGGCATTAACCGCGTCTCAAAAACCCCGAGACCTGCGCTGCCCTAATTCATCATGGCGGGGAGCCTGCCCTCTTTTGACGTCAGCCTCAGGTGCCCTGAGACGGGATGGCGTGAGGAACACGGGGTGGGGGGCGCAGGGGAACGATTGAAGGAAATGAGAAGCGGTCACGTGGTGCGATCGTGCTTGCCCCCCGCACCTCCGCTGCAAGACCCCGCTCTTTCGCATTTTCTCTCCGCCTCAGAGGCAGCGAGGCCTTCCAGGAGAGACTCGCGTCAGGACCCGAGCGCGCATGCGCCGCAGGCGAGAACACCGCTTTCGCCGGGGCTGACCCGAAGCAGCCGCCAGAAGACAATGAACCTTCCGCTGGAGGCGATCCAGCAGGCACCCGGCGGCATCTTCGAACGCAGGCTGAGGAGGTGTGTCCCAACCCGACGCCCGTAGCCGGGAGGGGGAAAAAACCTTCCCCCCCAAAACCTGAGGCGAAGTGCCGGAGGAGGGGGAGAACGGGGGAACGAGGCAGAGTTGGGCCTGGCCGAGGGGAGTGGCCAAGCCTGCGGCCCGCCCCGCAGGGACGGTAGGCGGGGACTAACCCCGCTCTGAACCAATCGCCACCCAGCCTTGGCGAGCGGTCGCCGAGGGATTGGATCGCTTCCGCGGAGAGGCGGGGCTGAGCCTTGAGACCAAACCCCAAGGCGTTGGCGCCGCCTTCTGGGGGGGAGGAGCCACTTTTCAGCACCTCTCCAAGAAGGGGTGGGGGGCAAAAGGAGCATCCCGTTCCTCCCGCCCACTAGAGGGCGCTGAGGGGGCCATGAAGCTGGTGCGCCTGCTCTGTCGACACAAGACCCTGCTGGGGGGCCTGTCCCTCTTTGGGATGGTGCTGCTCTACTTGGCCAGGTGCACCTCGGAGGGCCTCAAGTCTTCCCCGGGGTGGGGGCTACCCCAGCAGCAGCAGCCCCCGCCTGCCCGGGGAGGGGCCCTGGGCGGCCCTCACCCCCCTGCGGCAGCTCCTCCGCCCCCTCCAGAGGAGGCTACCTTTCTGGCGGTGCTGGTGGTCAGTGGGCCCAAGTACACCGAGCGGCGGAGCATCATCCGGAGCACCTGGTTCTCGGCGGCCGGCCGGGTGCCCCACAACGACCTGTGGTGCCGCTTCGTGGTGGGAACCGGAGGGCTGAGCAGCGAGGAGCAGCATGGCCTGGAACTGGAGCAGAGCCGCCACCATGACCTCCTCCTCCTCCCTGACCTGTGGGACTCCTACGAGAACCTGACCGCCAAAGTCTTAGCCATGTACGTCTGGCTGGACCAGCACCTGGACTTCCGCTTCGTCCTGAAGGCCGACGACGACACCTTTGTCCGCCTGGACGTCCTGGCGGAAGAACTGCGGTCCAAGGAGCCGCGCCGCCTCTACTGGGGCTTCTTCTCGGGACGCGGACGGGTGAAGTCGGGCGGGAAATGGAAAGAAAACGCCTGGCTCCTGTGTGACTACTACCTGCCTTACGCCCTGGGCGGTGGCTACGTCATCTCGGCCGACCTGGTGCACTACCTGCGCCTGAGCCAGGACTATCTCAACCTCTGGCAGAGCGAGGATGTCTCCCTGGGGGCCTGGCTGGCCCCCGTGGACGTCAAGAGGATTCATGACCCTCGCTTCGACACTGAGTACAAGTCGCGCGGTTGCAACAATAAGTACGTGGTGACGCACAAGCAGAGCCTGGAGGACATGCTGGAGAAGCATCAGACTCTGGCCAAAGAAGGGAAGCTTTGCAAGGAGGAAGTGAAACTCCGACTCTCGTACGTGTACGACTGGAATGTGCCTCCTTCCCAGTGCTGCCAGAGAAAAGATGGCATACCCTGAAACCCTGGACTGGAAGGGAGGAAGGGAAGCTGAACTGGGAGGGGCGGGTCGCAAGGGAAGGACAGGTGTCACACTCCAAGCTCTCCCTGTGTTGAACTTACACCCAATATGCCTAATCGTACTTCATCGTTTTTAAACCTTCAGAGTAATCCTATTTTCATTTGACTTAACAAAAAGTTATGGAAGAACACTTGAGCCTTCTGCGCTTCCCCAAAACTTAGGACTGTTAAATTATGCATTCATAAAGGGGACATCATTCGATGGGATGTGAAACATTTTTTTAAAAAGAGTTCCAAAAAACCTGTGTTAAGTGACACAGCCCTTCTCCATGACAATACATGTACATTTTGGGAAAATGCTGGTACTGGGGACCGTTTCTCTCCTATTCCTTACTTCAAAAGGATGTAGATTTTTTTCCCTACCAAGGCTGTTGATGCGTGAAAAGTTTCCCTTATCAGGAAAGCAATTGAGACATGAACCCCAATGGAATTACAAATTTAGGTGCTGCAATCATATATGTCATTTCTGAACTGAAGTAGCAACTTCTCCCACGCTAAAATTTTTTAAAAATGGCACGTCCTCGACTGACTTCTGTTTCACTTGGATAATTTCTTGAATGTCCGTTTATTACGACATCTTCCACTTCCTGATTGCTGCAGCCTGCTCTTTGAATCATCTTTCCCTTTACTCAAAAGGGGGATGCTTTAATCTGTAAGAACAGCATTTCAGGGGGATCCACTTGATCGGATGCTGGAGCCGCCATTATGCACTACGAATGGCCTATTGGATGGCTGGGGAAGATCAGCTACTTTTTAAGTGGTCGCTTCATTGCTGAAGAAGAGAAGCTTCATTGTGAACATCCACGGTGCTTTGTCCCTGAGGGAATTTGATGTTTTTAAAATTGTGGCTGTTAACCTTTTTTCAAATATACCGTTGATGATTAAAATGGGATTATGTCCTTTTCTTGGGGACAAGCATTTGAGCTATAACTCTAGATTATGGTGAGCTGAAATGGGAGATGACTAAATTGGGATGCCTTCCTTGATCAATTTATTTTAAGAGAAGTATTTGAGAGCAAGTAGGTTGCAAATAATGATAATTTCATTTGCACGCCCTGGTTGTTTGCAGCAGGCCTAGTTTTGACAAGCAGGACTTAATTCACCCAGAATTTATGAGCTGTCACTTCCATTCTGGTGATGATAGTATGGAGAGCCTTCAGTCAAAATCACCTCAAAAAGCTTCATTGTGGCCATGAGGCCGAAGGTGTTAAGTGTTCTGGACCAAAGGATTTTTGGAAAGATCTAATAGATGGATGGAATTGTTTCTTTTTTAGGGATGAATTGTGCCCTGTTGGATGGAGGGACTCCTAATTTTTGTATTGTTGGGGGTCGATTGACTATGTTTGTTTTTCCTACAATGTCTACAATAATCCTGGCTCTAAATATTTACATTTTTCCATAGATATTTGAACTATGTTTCTCTCCTGAAAGCTTAAAAGAACCTTAGGGCTTAATCTGCTTTTCATTCTCAAAGCACTCATAGCAGAGAATCTGACATTCATATCTATTTATGTTTAGATTGAATTGAGAGAAGATTATGATCCAATCATGCTTTAAGGAAAGAGTAGCCGAATTACATTTTTATTTTTTTTCTCTGGTGGTCTCCCATGCGAGTTCTATCAAGACCGACCGTAATTCGTTTTTTTCAGAGATCACTTTAGCCCAAACAGTAGCTGCTACTTTGCTACAGGGGGCAAAATTAGTTTAACAATGGACTGCTGGCCATGCTGCAGCTCACTGGTTGTCCAAGCTTCCTTTGAGAAATTAGTTACCGGAAACAATTGAAAATATTTGTCCCCTCCCAGGGGAGTTAGTATTACATGTAAAATTATGTGCTTATAATAGTGATAATTTATTTATAAATACTGTAAATGTACTGTGTATAGTTTCAGGCCTGAGGAAAATGGTTGAATGTCATAGTAATTTTAATTTATTAAAGGAATGTGTTGAAGCTCAGAATGGTCCTTTATCAAATGCCATTCTTTTCTGCTGCACGTTTTTAATTTAAAATTTCTGGTGCTGGTTTTTAATTCAGACTCTGCTGCGTTTATCTCTGGAACTCGCATGAAAGAATGTATAGATAGATCCTTTCAGTTGAAATATTACTGCTTCTGAAAGCTGTTTAAATATTGCTGATTCTGATTTATAATTGCCCGGTTCTCCATATATTTGCACACAATGGCCTGCGCAAGAATACATACCACTATCCTAATTCTTCTACGGCAATTGGATTTTTAAACGTCAGGGGGGGAAGGAAATGAAAAGATACCAAATGAAATATGACAGTGGGAAGCTCATATTGGTATTGCTCGTGACTTTTCATAGGGGTTTTTATAACTGATTCAAAGCTGGAAAGCAGACCTCTCGTTCTGGGCACAAGGGCTTATGAAATTTTAAGATTTTTCTAAGCAAAAGGAGTGCAGATTTGACACACACACACACACACACACACACACACACCAAATAAACCTATGTACAAACTGGCATTATTTCACTACATTTAAAGGAGGCCAATGAATATATTATATTCTGGAATACAAAGAGCTTCAGCATCAAGCTATAGATATTTTTCATCGGCTTTAGCAGGAGCAAAGCATAAAGCCATAAGCTTTATTTTTTAAAAAAACAAAAACCTTGACAACTTCTCTAGCAAGTAGGAAGTTCTCTCAAGCCGCTTTTATCCATGAACCAGATTCCTAAATAGCATTAAAAGAGAGAGCAATGCAATTATGAATAGCCACGGCCTAATTAGATCAGCCATTCAGGGGAGTTTAGACATCTGTATTAAGTACTTATAATTGCTGAAGAATTTGCTGAACTAAAGTGGTGTCAGTGAAGAGTTGTTTTAATAAATAAAAGCCATGTCCTATCACTTTAAACCAAGAAATTAATAATTCAGCAACGCTTTGCCTTGAGACCCAAATGCCATTTTCCACCTGCTTAATCAAGGAGATGCCAAAGATTTGGGCATAATTTGCTACCCACTTTAAGCCTCAGCAGAATGAGGGGGAGAAAGTGTTAACACAGAAATGCCACAGGTTTTCTCCTTACTCATAGCAAATTTTAAATTCCCCCCCCCCACCACGCCCCGAAATGGACCTAGTTCATGAGCAACTGAGCCCAAATTAATTAACGTATTAGTGTGCATGCGGCTGGGCGTATATTCATTTCACCATCTTCCCCATTAGCCATGCAAAAGCTGCGAATTTTCATGCGAGTGCAGATTTGCCGTTGACTTGATACCTTAAAGGTGCTTTTTCAAAAGGCAATTTGATTATTTTTTTTTCCTTGAGGAAGTAAAAGAATAAATTTCGCTTCTCATCCAAGGAGCTTCGGTCGGTTCTGAACCGATGAAGTTCCTTGGATGAGAAGCGAAATTTCTCCTCCTTCCTCAAGGTAAAAAAAAAAAAACAGTCCAGTTTTTTTTTCCTTGGAAGAAGTTTTGGGGAAAAAAAGCACCTTTGAGATAACTAAGACCTGGATGACTGAGAATCTTCCCAGACGTTGATATTGAATACGCCTGGAATGTTCAAAACATCTTTTTCCGATCTATTGTACTTTTTTTCCTTCTTTTTTTTTTTGAGAGAGAGCTTTTGTTCAGAATTGCAAATGTAATATACACCCAAACTCGGAGGAGTCGTAAGTCCCAGCCAAGTGCATTCTTGCAAGCCCTCGATAGCCTGAGGCTGGGAAGAGCAGAGAGGAAAACGAATACCTTTGATTTCCTCTCAACGTTTGGATGCAGATTAAAGCCCGGTCCTTCCCCGAACCCTTTTTTTTCTCAACCTCTTTTCAGGAAACCAAGGTTAGGGGAAGGAGAAAAGAGTTGGTTTTCCAAATCTGCTCACCGCATCTCCTTCCTGGGCGAGGCATGTCCTTTCAATTTCGTATTTTAAAAGAGAGGCTTTGCTAGAAGGCAGGATGAATAATGCACGGAGAGCCCTTTGCTTCCCCGCCTCCCGTACCCGTTAGGAAGGTGCCTGGGTGCTTCCTCTGAGCCCCCACTTCCAGTAAACAGGATGAGGTGGAAAATATCTCCAGTTTTTCCAAATCGTCACGGACAACAGTCTGCACGAGGCCAAGCCTTAGAAGGTGTTCTGATCTAGGCTTTCCAAGATCATGAAGCAAGACGCCTCGTTTTGATAAAACCCCTTTTATTTAGATTACACTGAATTCTTCTCCAGCAAAGTCCCGGCAAACAGTCTTTCATGAGATTTCACAACTACAGACCTTTATCCGGCTTGGAGAGCTGCCGGGCCAATATCTTGCAAACGCCACGCTGTAGCAGAAATTATTTGACAAAAAGTCAGGGACAGATCTTCACCCTAACGAATGGAACTAATTGTCTCCTGCAAACACCACTCCCCTTTCGCTCCTCTTTATTCCCTATGGGAGGGGCCATTCACCATCCACCTATGCTTTTACTCCCGAGTCGACCCTTGTTCCTTAACTGTTCCTTTCTCCTGACAGCTCTGTGCATGCGCACATTGGGAACAGGCTCCAGCTGTTCTTCTGCCCCACTGATTTCCAAATTCCGAAGGCAGCTGATAACTGTCAAACGGCCCTGGTCCCATCTCTGCCTTCGACTCAGAGCACTCCTCAGAGCCTTTCCCATACTCCAGGACTGGCCCATGTTCCTCCCCTACTTGTGAATTCTCCCCCCTTCTCCAAGAGCCTTGAGGCTTGATAGAAGTGAAAACCTTGGCAGTCTGAAGTAATGTGTTAAATAAGCTGTTTGTGTGTTGTCTTCCTTCTCTTGTCTAAACTGAATGGAGCTCTCAGAGGATTTCAGTATAAATGAACTAATCTGCAGCAGCACTCCCAGGTTACGCAGATTTAAAAATCTCTCCAAAAATGTGAAGAGCAAAACCCCAGAATGGAGAAATAAGGAACGGTGCCTTAGGAATTTATAATGCAGCATTGTCCTGACGCCTGCAGGCAAACTCCCCCGGAGCCCCGCAATTGTACCAGGTATGAGATCAGCTTTCCATTTGGTTCAATAATTCAGTGGGAGATTAAATTTTAATTCCATCTTCTGCAGCAGCTGGCCAAGCTGGGCATCCCATTTATTCTGACAATTACGATTGGTTTTAATTAAACACACCTCTGTCCCTTTTGCAGAAAGCAGGGAAGGCCCTTTCTCTGTGCCACAGAATTTTAAGCAATTCTAAGTGATATTGGGGGGGGTGTCTTATGTCTGACAATAGAATAGACGAAGG